AATGTTCCAGTGGTCTGTTGTGGTTGTAACTGTGCACTGTGTTAGTTAATGTTCCAGTGGTCTGTTGTAGTTATAACTGTGCACTGTGTTAGATAATGTTCCAGTGGTCTGTCGGGCATTTCTCCACAGTGCTGACATTTCCTCTCATCTGGAACCTGTAAACCTATTTCTCATGCACATGGGTATCCAAGCCTGATGCGATGTAAGTGTACTTCTGTTATTCTACTGCTCCCTTTCATCAAACTAAGTGGTTCATAGTTGGTTGAATTCTTGTACCAACCCGCAGATCCTGATGTTGCAACTGCTGTGTTGTGGTAACTGTACATCCTTTGCATTGCTCTGTTTCTAATTACTTTCTTAATCTGTGATAGACTCTGTGGTATGTAAATATCTACATTTTTTCTCTTAGTTGCAAGTTTTGCAGCTTCGTCTGCAATGTCATTTCCTATTATTCCAACATGACTTGCCACCCAGTTGATAAGTACCCTACGGCCTTGACGTTTGAGTGTTTGCATTAATGATATGACATTCGTGATCAGATGGATGTTATCACGTATGTGTTCTTGTTGCAAGGTTTCAATGGCAGTTCTCGAATCTGTATGTATGATAACATGTTTTTGGTGTTCAGCAAGAGCATGTTCCAAACCTTTTGAATGGCTAGTATTCTCTGTCAGATGCCACGTTTGCTTCTATATGCACCTATGCAACATTACGTTGCAGATGAGGATTAGTCTGGTTCTTTTTTCCTTCAAGAGCCATAATCTTAAAGTCTGGTGGCAGCGATTCCCAAGGGACTTGCATAACAAAGTCTGCATGTATTTCGTCGACACCCCTCTCAGTGATTGTATTTGATATATCGAATGTATTGATGGTGTTTATTGCACACTGGGTCCACCTGTTGCTATTGGAGGCTCTTCTGTCTCGAGTTAATGCTCCAGTGATTATATCTTTACGTGAACGGATTCTAGGTCTAGTCAATATCTTGGTCAGCATGTACACAGCAATTCCTTTTACCCCTATTTCAATCGACATTAGCTTCATTTTTAGGAGCTCCTGTTATGACTCACATTGCATCATTTTGAAAAACCTCAACGTATGCCCACTGGCCAGGAGAAAGAGTGAGTAAGGCAGGCACTGCATAATCAACTAGGGGACGAACAGCGTGTATGTAAAACATTCATAACACTCTGTGTCCCGCTCCTAGACGGGGCCCTGTGATTGCACTCATTGTATTCAGTCGTGATTTTGCTCTCTCCTTCAGATATTGAATTTGCTTGTTGAAAGTCATTTTAGAATCTATCCACACTCCGAGATATTGATATTGTGTAACCCACTGAAGGTTAATGTCTTGAATGCGTAGGTGCCTGTCTGGAGTGTTGCCACCTAGTCTCATTGCCTTAGTCTTCTGTGCAGATATTTTAAGCCCTAAAATCCTACATTCAGATGTTACTTTATCTAACGTCCCTTGTGTTTTACTAAGAAGTGAAGGACATGTAATGACTAATGCTATAACATCAGTATAGCTTAGCAATTTAACCCCTTCTGCAAATGTTCTGGCGTTCCGCTCGCGCTTTGTCATGGGTTCGTATCCTGGCCGGGGAGGATTTACTGGGCGCAAACCCTTAACTGTAGCCTCTTTTTAACGCACCAGTAAAATGGGAACTTGGTTGTAAAAACGATTCTTCGTGGGGGTCGTATTCCAGAGACCACAGGATTAAGAACTTGCCGGAAACGCTACGCGTACTAGTGGCTGTACAAGAATGTAACAACTCTTGTATATAGCTCAAAAAAAAAATGTCATGGTAAGAGGTTTTCCATAAGGCTGTTAAATGGTGATGTTAGGGGTGGTGGTGGTGATTTTAGTGGTGGTGGTGATGTTGGTGGTGGTGATGTTGTGGGTAGTGGTGGAGGTGGTGATGGTGATGTTGTGGGTAGTGGTGGTGATGTTAGTGATGGTGATGTTGGGGGTGGTGATGTTAGTGGTGGTGATGTTAGTGGTGGTGATGTTAGTGGTGGTGATGTTGGGGGTGGTGGTGTTGGGGGTGGTGGTGTTGGGGGTGGTGGTGTTGGGGGTGATGATGTTGGGGGTGGTGGTGGTGGTAATAATGTGCTTGCCTGTGGTGGCAACCCATCTTCCTCAATAATTGTTCTTATGGCAACTTTTGATCGAACGTACAAAAATTGACTGTTGTAGCCAAACATGTTCAATATGGTACTATTGGAATATTGAAAAAATAGAAGCAGTACGTTGTCTTTGGCCTAAATAAGCAATTCTAGACCTAATATAGGCCATCTTTAGCCTAATTTTGTACATATTAATTAGATCTAGGAAAGTTTAGCTTTGGCTGTTGCCTCCTTTCTAGTGCACTCGACAAAATATAATGTATAAAACGTAACATTTTAGGGGTGCAAAAGTGCACTTGAGGACTGAGTTGCTGGGAGTGGTGTCATCTTGGGTGCGAGGGACGGGAGACCGTAGCTGTGACGGCGTGTTCCACCATCATTTACCATTAACTTGACCACAGCAGATGTCACGATTAACCTCTATGTACAAGGCTGACAAAATTTGTTTATAAATATATTGATGTTTTCGCGTAAGCAAAGCAGCGCCCTTGTTTACATGCGGCGGAACGCCGTACTAAAACTCACGGACAGAATATTTTTTTTTTTTACACAGAGAAATATAATGTGGATTTTGTGCTGCCGGAGAGTATATTGGCTTCCCTGAAATATGGGGCGATTCTTTGTCACCCCGAGTATAGCTTTATGGCCCCATTCCATATAGAAAGGCATATTGGAGACCTTTCTCTGCAACATTTCAAGAATCGGGTTAAAATGTTGCAAGAGGTCACAGAGCCTCCGGAGTCATATCCTTTTACGAGAGGGAATAACTCAAGAGATATTAAAACTAATATCTAACACCTCGTAACTTGTTCCAAGAGCCTGACATACGAGGTGAACCTGCCACCAGCACTAAGAGGCCGTTGGTGGTGAAGGGTGTAAGTACCCAAGCCTATTCCCAACTATTAACTAAACGAGCGGACATTCTAGCCCAGTCATTCCTCTGAGTGGGGAATTTTCCTGTCTATTTCCCCCGCCTCAGTAGTGACACTATATCATGCTGGGCGCTTGTATGGTGATACCGGGAACTGTGACGTGCTCTCTGGATCTCTCTATAGTGAGTCTTGGCTGTTGGCGTCCCGGTGCCTCTAGCTCCTGGTCTCTGGCACTGACTGACTGGCACCACATAAGGCTTACTGACAATGGTCGCTATTTGCCCTGGTAAATGACGCTGCTTCCAGACCAAGTTGTTCCAGACTACCTTACAGTCTCTTGGGATCATCCCTGACGGTCCGCGGCCAATGTATACAAGACCACAGTGTATACAGGACTACGGTGTATACAGGACCACAGTGTATACAGGACCACGGTGTATACAGGACCACGGTGTATACAGGACCACAGTGTATACAGGACCACGGTGTATACAGGACCACGGTGTATACAGGACCACGGTGTATACAGGACCACGGTGTATACAGGACCACGGTGTATACAGGACCAAAGTGTATACAGGACTACGGTGTATACAGGACCACAGTGTATGCAGGATCACAGTGTATACAGGATCACGGTGTTTACAGGACCACGGTGTATACAGGACCACGGTGTATACAGGACCACAGTGTATACAGGACTACGGTGTATACAGGACCACGGTGTATACAGGACCACGGTGTATACAGGACCACAGTGTATACAGGACCACAGTGTATACAGGACTACGGTGTATACAGGACCACAGTGTATACAGGATCACAGTGTATACAGGATCACGGTGTTTACAGGACCACGGTGTATACAGGACCACAGTGTATACAGCACCACGGTGTATACAGGACCACGGTGTATACAGGACCATATGGTTGCCTCGAAGTTCACGAACGATCACTAAAAACTTTTTATTTTGTGTCTCATTGAATCGTGATCTTGTAACAGAGAAAGAGTTCCTCCTTCACCTGAGAGTATCAGGAAGAGTTCCTCCTTCACTTGAGAGTATCAGGAAGAGTTCCTCCTTCACTTGAGAGTATCAGGAAGAGTTCCTCCTTCACCTGAGAGTATCAGGAAGAGTTCCTCCTTCACATGAGAGTATCAGGCAGAGTTCCTCCTACACCTGAGAGTATCAGGAAGAGTTCCTCCTTCACCTGAGAGTATCAGGAAGAGTTCCTCCTTCACCTGAGAGTATCAGGAAGAGTTCCTCCTTCACCTGAGAGTATCAGGAAGAGTTCCTCCTTCACCTGAGAGTATCAGGAAGAGTTCCTCCTTCACCTGAGAGTATCAGGAAGAGTTCCTCCTTCACCTGAGAGTATCAGGGGAGGAAGGAGTCTTTCAGTCACACATTAGATCATTATGAATTCCTTTGGCCTTCAACTCGTCCCGTCGTGTCAACAAGTCACAAGTCTTGGAGTATTTGTCTTTACTGTTCCAGCAATTACTGCTGATGTGCTCGCGGGCGTAAACATTCTTTGATACTTTTAGGGATAAAATTCTTCCAAAAATCAATATCTTCCAGCGCCAAAACTCATCCTTTTCCGCCATTTACGAAACCTTTTCAGCGCGCGCCAAATCTTCTCTGTTCCAGCTAATCCTGACAAAGTTCCAGTTCAAAATTCTTCCCATCGACTATTATGGATCAAGTTCTGTCATGACAGACAGCATTCTTACTGTAGTGATGCTCCCTCGCTCGCTGCATGCCTGCCACTCCTCCAGCTGGTGCTGACGGCCGGGAAGAAGTGCCAGCCACTCCTCCAGCTGGTGCTGACGGCCGGGAAGAAGTGCCAGCCACTCCTCCAGCTGGTGCTGACGGCCGGGAAGAAGTGCCAGCCACTCCTCCAGCTGGTGCTGACGGTCGGGAAGAAGTGCCAGCCACTCCTCCCGCTGGTGCTGACGGTCGGGAAGAAGTGCCAGCGTATCTGGCATCCCGGATGAGGACTGCGACGTCAGTGTTCTCTACGATAACGCTCACGAGCGCACCAAAAGTTATTCTTTCCCTCTATTACTGATAATATTCTCTGGCGCGTCAAAAATCCTTCATTCCGACTATTGCCAGCTTGGCGGGCGAGGGTGGAGGGCCTCCAGATAACTGGCGGGCGAGGGTGGAGGCACCTCCAGATAACTGGGGGCGAGGGTGGAGGCACCTCCAGATAACTGGGGGCGAGGGTGGAGGCACCTCCAGATAACTGGGGGCGAGGGTGGAGGCGCCTCCAGATAACTGGGGGCGAGGGTGGAGGGCCTCCAGATAACTGGCGGGCGAGGGTGGAGGCACCTCCAGATAACTGGGGGCGAGGGTGGAGGCACCTCCAGATAACTGGGGGCGAGGGTGGAGGCGCCTCCAGATAACTGGGGGCGAGGGTGGAGGCACCTCCAGATAACTGGGGGCGAGGGTGGAGGCACCTCCAGATAACTGGGGGCGAGGGTGGAGGCGCCTCCAGATAACTGGCGGGCGAGGGTGGAGGCGCCTCCAGATAACTGGCGGGCGAGGGTGGAGGCGCCTCCAGATAACTGGCGGGCGAGGGTGGAGGCGCCTCCAGATAACTGGGGGCGAGGGTGGAGGCGCCTCCAGATAACTGGCGGGCGAGGGTGGAGGCGCCTCCAGATAACTGGCGGGCGAGGGTGGAGGCGCCTCCAGATAACTGGGGGCGAGGGTGGAGGCGCCTTCAGATAACTGGGGGCGAGGGTGGAGGCACCTCCAGATAATTCAACAATCCATTGATGGCGCCCTTGACTCGCGGCATCAAAGATGCCGGCTATTATCCCGCTTATAAAACACACTACAAGGAAAGACTCCAGGAAATTAAATTGGACTAATCCCGAAGATCAAAGACTCCGTTAACTCTTTTGTTTAAGTTTTCCTGAAGAGGCATCATTACCCCAACACCGTCCTACCGGTAGAGGGAACTTAGCTCTTGTGTCCTCCTCTTATTAGAGCCACATTCCCATCCCACGTAAAGGAGGAATAGCCCATATGTAATGCTTCAGTAAGGACTACATTTGAGCATCCCTCCCCGGCATCTGGCCAGAGGGAGGCTGGCAGTAGATATTACAGCTAATATCTGGAGAAGGACCCACAGTCAATACTCCGAAAAAGAAGCAGCTGTGAATTGAAAAACGCACAAAGTGTAGAGACCTGCACAGATCCATTGATCCACTCCGAGCCTCCGGCCCCTCTACCCACCAATCGATGAGCCCAACTTGCTCATATTTCTCCATAATTAGTTTTTCGGCTCACAGAAAGATTTTCCCACTTCACGGATATTAAAAACGAGCGGCCTTACGACAACAATCGCTGCTGTGCAATACAAAAAATAGCTACACCTTCATTCCCTCAAACCAAACCTCACTGACACAGGCACGCAGTCTTGTGCACCCCATGCTCACCCTGTGAGTATGGGGAGCACAACTACCGCTCACCCTGTGAGTATGTGGTGCACAACTACCACTCACAGGGTGAGCATGGGGACCGCAAAGAGAGAGAGAGAGAGAGAGAGAGAGAGAGAGAGAGAGAGAGAGAGAGAGAGAGAGAGAGAGAGAGAGAGAGAGAGAGAGAGAGATGGGAACTAACATAGTTGTTGTGTTAGTTACATTTTCAAAACTAGTGAATTATTATCTCAACAAAATATAAAATAATTGTAATCAAGGCATCACAGAATAAAAATATATGGTTTAAATACATGGGATCTGAGCATTGCTTTTAGAATATATAAAAGAGGCCTTAACAGAGTAGACACATGATACAGAACACGAGGATGAAAGCAGTGTCTACGTAATATAGGCAACGTTATTAAACAATTACGTAATACACATATAGAAAATGGGATCACAAGCAGTGCACTTATTATACATAAAACGGAAACCAACCAGAATGAAAAAAATTAGAAACACGTTATTGAAGCCACAAAGTTTCTACATAGAAAACGGGGATGAAAGCAAACCATTTGGGAAATAAAGAACAAGGAATGAAAGCAACGGTAACATAGAAAATGGGATGATAATGGCATGGGGGGTTGAGGGAGGGGGGGGGACAGGAGAGCCAAGCCTTAAGACATCTTAGAAAGGTTCACATGAGAACATCCACGTCTTAAATCAACATATCAGCAGCCTGTTCCATCACACAGTATTGGGGCAAAACTAAGAAATTATTGCAAAATTAATATTACAGTAGTGTACTGGGAATATAGAACACGAACATCAGAGCAGTGTACTGGGAATACATAATACATCAGAGCAGTGTACTGGGAATACATAATACATCAGAGCAGTGTACTGGGAATACACCATCAACACACCCAGCCCTGGCCACACACCAACACACTCACTATGGCCAATTTTTGGTATCCAATCAGTGTTATCCCCTCCCCCTCCTTCCCTATCCCTCCCTACTAACCTCGGGATCAATAATATCCCCATTTGGTCTTCCCTCCTCTGCCGGAACGTCACCCCTCTCCCCCCTTAACCCCTCCTACCCACTCGTTAAGTAATTACATCCCCTCGAATTGCCTTGTTCCTGTAGGCTTGTCCTCGTTTAACAACGTTTACGTGGGTCTATATATTTATTTAGTCATTTATGCTACTGATGTTTTCTTTATTGGTAATGTTGACGTGTTGGTATTGATCTTTTCATTATAATATTGACTATTTGTCTTAATATTATTATTATTATTAATATTATTATTACATGAAGAAATCCACAAGGGCCGTGACGAGGATTTGAACCTGCTTCGGTTTCAACCCTTTTAACCCTGTCGTAGCTCAGTCGATTAAGGCAGTGTCTGGGATGCTCCCGGACGCAGGTTCGAATCCTCGTCATGGCCCTTGTGGATTTGTTCATTTGATGCATCACGTTAGTGTGATCTCTGTGTGTAATATTATTATTGTTAATATTATTATTATTATTATTATTATTATTATTATTATTATTATTATTATTATTATTATTATTGCAACACGAGACATGAAGCGTGACTGTTGGTGTCATCCGTGACCCGTGGTGGACCAGTCACCACCCTCACTCTGGCCTCCCGTACACCAACACACAGTAATGACTGACAGTGAGGTAACACAGCAGTAACGTCACACCTGGCTCAGGTGACCTCCAAGTGACCTCCAGGTGACCTGTAGGTGACCCCCAGGTGACCTCCAGTACTGATGGTACGAGCACAACCGGATCTGAAGACCTGCAAATGACTAAGTCAACACCTTAAAGGTACGTCTCTGGGGTCGACCGCTGGATGGAATGGTCTTAGTCTGAGGACGGGTTGCTTCAACAAATCCGTCAGCCAATCACTAGCCAAACCACACTACACGTCACTAAGCTCCCCCCCCCCCTGCAGGTAATCAGAACAATGTAACCACAGAATAATGGACGCCACAGGATTATACGAGCATGTTAGGGCGTTAAAGATTATAATCTAGAACAATACATACATAAATAGACAGCTCTTGTATAATTTGTTGAGTTAATCCTAAAATTACTGGTGGAGAAAACGGGGTTTGTAACACAGCTGACCGGCGCCATGTTGGTGGACACATGACACAGCTGACCGGCGCCATGTTGGTGGACACATGACACAGCTGACCGGCGCCATGTTGGTGGACACATGACACAGCTGACCGGCGCCATGTTGGTGGACACATGACACAGCTGACCGGCGCCATGTTGGTGGACATATGACACAGCTGACCGGCGCCATGTTGGTGGATACATAACGAGGGAACAAGGGGAAGGGTGATACTGCCATTGTTGAAGCATCACCTTGTGAAGTGGACATCTCCGGCCACATGAAGTCCTCCATACTGGCACGACCTTACCTCTCTTGTATGGTTCCTCTCCTGAAGCACCAGCCCCAGCCCCTCCCCCATCTCTCAACCCTCCCAGCCCCCACCTCACAACCCTCCCCCACCTCTAAACCCTCCCAGCCCCCACCTCACAACCCTCCCCTCCTTCACTATAATCATCATGCATTTGTTTCATCCTCCTCTTTATCCCACTTATCTCACCTCCCCTCCGCCTCCCCTCCCCCCCCCCCTCCCTCTCCCACCCCCCACAACCCCCTCCCGCTCCCTCTCCCTTATCCCCTCCTAAAATCTTAATGGAATTATGGATTAATTTGTTCAGGATTTAGAGTGCCTTGAGAGTGGGGGTGAGGGGAGTGGGGTTGGGGAGGGTGGGGAGGACCGGGAGGGGTGAGAAGTATGGGATAACGTGGGAGTGAATGAAGTAGGGGTGGGGGTATAATAGTAGGGGAGTGGGGGTATAATAGTGGGGGGGCGGGGGTACGATTGGCAGGGATGCGATTTTCCGACTTGGGTTATGGTGTATTAAGTGGTGGGGGCGGGGGCTGGCTTGTGGGGGGCGGGGGCTGGCTTGTGGGGGGCGGGGGCTGGCTTGTGGGGGGCGGGGGCAGTTTAGTTTGGGGCGGGGGACGGGAGGAACCCCAGTAAGATAGGCAGGGTCAGGGAAGGTGAGGAAGATTGTCATAGCAGGACAGTGAGACAGGCTGTCAGGAGCAGGTCAGTGAGACAGGCTGTCAGGAGCAGGTCAGTGAGACAGGCTGTCAGGAGCAGGTCAGTGAGACAGGCTGTCAGGAGCAGGTCAGTGAGACAGGCTGTCAGGAGCAGGTCAGTGAGACAGGCTGTCAGGAGCAGGACAGTGAGACAGGCTGTCAGGAGCAGGTCAGTGAGACAGGCTGTCAAGAGCAGGTCAGTGAGACAGGCTGTCAGGAGCAGGACAGTGAGACAGGCTGTCAGGAGCAGGACAGTGAGACAGCCTGTCAGGAGCAGGACAGTGAGACAGGCTGTCAGGAGCAGGACAGTGAGACAGCCTGTCAGGAGCAGGACAGTGAGACAGCCTGTCAGGAGCAGGACAGTGAGACAGGCTGTCAGGAGCAGGACAGTGAGACAGCCTGTCAGGAGCAGGACAGTGAGACAGCCTGTCAGGAGCAGGACAGTGAGACAGGCTGTCAGGAGCAGGACAGTGAGACAGGCTGTCAGGAGCAGGTCAGTGAGACAAGCTGTCAGGAGCAGGTCAGCAATACAGAGATGATTTCTTCCGAACACATCGTCGCCGCCACCAATTGCTCTCATGATTCCCTCGATTCACAGCGAATAATGAAGTTAGTGAGAGAGCCCGCCCACCCTCCGCCCCCTGACCCACGCCCACCCACCCTCCGTCCCCTGACCCACGCCCACCCACCCAGCCCACCCCTCACATTATAAGCATAATATGTTCTTAATTGTGACTTACGCCTCACTTACCTGGGACCGACGAGTGACGCGACCCGTCACAGTCTTCCCTCCGTGGCCAGTGACAGCACGCCATATTCCCGCCAAGAGCCTCGGGCGCTAACGTCATACTACGTCACGCCGTGGCTACTCTCTGATTGGTCAACCGGAACACACCCCCACACATGACCAATCATATTGCCCAAAACCAGGAGACACAGTGTCACATCTGGAGTATTTGGCGGGAATTCGCGGTGTCTTCCCCCACTTTGGGACCACAGTGGCCCACTTCCCCCTACCTTGGGACCACAGTGGTCCACTTGCCCCACCTTGAGGCGCCCCAACCCACCGTTCACACATTCTGACCCATCTTGATTCAACATATCCTGACCCACCACGTAGGGATGGTTGCAGGTGTGTAGAGGGGCAGGACCACACCCTACATCAGGGCCACACTCTATATAAGGGCTACACCCTACATCAGGGCCACACCCTATATCAGGGCCACACCTTTCATCATGGCCACACCCTACATCATGGCCACACCCTAGTGGGAAATTTTTACCCACCATATCTAATAATCATCTAAGAAATGTATAATTTCTATATCATATCTAAATCATATCAAAATCATATCTAAAATGTATCAAAATCATATAAAGAATCATTAAAGATTCATTATAGCTTGATCCTGGATGACAATGGCACCATGAACACGTACTCAACAGGGGCCCTTTTGATGCCTACGTGACTTTGTACATGATCTCTCAAGGATCCAGAAGCTTCTAGAAGGACTTCTTAATTAAAAAACTATTGGAACATTGATTCAACATCCGGTAGGATTAAAAATCGAATCCTTAATAAGATTCAGTGGTACTTTCAAATACTACTTATAATCTTTAAATCTTATATCTAATTATATTATAATCACATCTTATCTTAATCATAAGTCTAGACTGTAAAAATAATCAATCAATATTCATTGCAAG